AATATCTAATTAGAATACACCTCGGCTGTTTTTTTTTCTTCTTCCTTTTTTTTTTTACAAAAGGATATAAATTAACAACCCACGTTAAAAAAGAAGCCAGTGACTCTCGTATTCATGAAACCCACAAATTCAAGATCTCCTTCTCCAATACCCATTGTGCGAGCTCATGTGTAACTTATGTTCCCATATATCTTCCAACGTGTTGAATCGTGGCCACTCTAGCTTTAAGTGCAGGTCGTTTGGCCTCTTCGATACCCCAACAAATTTCGGTGAAGTTTTCGTCTTTTCTATTAAGTAACTAAAACAACTTCAATGTAATCTATTTCAGCGACTTTTAATCAAATCCTTAAAACCTTCCCTTAGGGCTTGATTTTCTAGAAATTTGATTTCTCTCTTTCTTGTGATGAAAATACATCAGCGCGTTCAATTTTTCCAGCACAAGATTGGATAATCCACCCCAGCCCTCCTTTTTGTTGTGAATTGCTATAGACAGCGTCATAATTTATCTTCCAAAAATTTTGGAGTAGAGATATCCAATCTTTCTTCAGAAAAACTTTCAGATAGTTGAGCTGTTAGAAACATTTGAATCGAAGATTCAATCACACGTCATTCTATTGGTATTCTATTGGTGTACTAAACAAAATAAAAAAGTTACTCCGAAAAAAGTATAAAGTACTTTTTCGAAAATGGATAATGAAACTAAAATTATTTAAAATTGAATTACGAAAACTGGTTATTTCCCATGTTTTAGAATTTGTGAATTTTTGAAAAGGTGTATTTCAATCTTTAAAACATTTAGGTTAAATTAAGAATTTAGTCTCTTTGTATTTAATTGTCTAATAGAACTTTCTTTTAATGAGTGCCTAAACTTTTTAAAAAAATATATGTCTAATAAATCTTTAAATTTTATTTCTAATGAGTGCCTAAACTTAAAAAAAATATCTGATAAATTTAAATTTTGCATCTAATAGTAAGCCTAATATATTATTGACTTGATTGATAATTTTTAAAATTCATCAACTTATCAAACATATAATTGAAAGTTGAGTCATATGGAACACACAATTAAATTTTCTTTTTTTTTTGTCTAATTAACTCCATTATTTTTAAAAAATATTGAAAGACATATAATTAAGGATCTTTTTGATATAAATTTAAAAGTTTAGGAATCTATTAAATACAAATTTAAAAGTTCAGAAACAAAACTTGTAATTTAACTAAAATTTTTAAGTTTCTTTCAATTTGGTCTCTAAAATTTGAAAATGTTTATTTTAGTATTCAAAGATTACCATTAAAAGGAATTATGCTTATTAAATAGCAGAATAAGAATGACCAAAATGATTCAAGTTAAAGTACTAAAATAAATATATTTTGAAATTCTAGATACTAATTTTTTTTATTTATAATTTTGGAATTAAGATAAATAGGTTGAAAGTTAGGACAAAACAAGAATAAGCTTAAAAACTTAGAACCAAAATGAAATATAAACAAAAATAATTTGTAAACTAAGTTACTAACCAATAAATTATATGAAATTTAACAAGTAAAACATCTTAAATAAAGTTGTCAAAAAAAAAAATCTTAAAAGAAATACAAAAAAAATCCCAATCCAATTACCAAAATACCGAATATGTATAAAATCAAGCATAAAAGAAGCACTTCAAATACAAAAATTTTCAAATTTTCAAATGCAATCAATACTTAAAAACTAGTTTTGTAATCTTCAAAGCAAGATCAAGATCAACGAAAACTAACTATGCTTGTTCATTCGATCACTTATTTAAATTCTTGTTTAATTTAAGTTTTCGAAATGGATTGTATGAAGCATTCTTTATTAATGACTACTTTTCTTCTTTTGTTCTTTCTTCTCCACAAGAATCCAGCAACAATTCACTCACCAGATCTTCAGATATCGAACTACAATCGCTTCTATCAGAAGAACAATTTGGAAGTTGCGCCGATGAGTTGATTTCGATTTCCTGATCACTGGAATTGGAATTGAAATTTGAATCTGAATCATCCTCACCGTCGAGTTTTCTTTTTCTTGAAAGATGACGACGAAGAGGCGTAGCAGTATCGTCTGAAGTATCAACATCCGCGTCGTAGCCACTATACCTAATTTCAGCTTCCTCGTTTTCCTTCATTTCCACAATTGCGAGTCCCATGGCTACCACCGTCGCAGGATCGCCGCTCTTCTCTTGCCGATCGTCGGCGATCCAACGAATCTGTTTCGCATCAACAGATTGAGGCGGCGGCGGCGGCGGTGGCGGCGCTTCTGACCTCGGACGATGCTTCTCCGAACTAATTTTGATCAGAACTTTGAAGCGATCTATCATTTCTTTCTCTCCCGTCGTTTCAAGTTCATCGCTCGGATTGTTCGACGATTCATATTCGATGAAATCGTCGGGATCAGCTGCATTGTTTTCTCTGTTTTTGTCGTCCATTGCATAACATTAAGAACAACAGAGCAAAATCAAAATCAAAATCACTGGTAATGAAGAAGGTGGAGGGAGAGAGAATCTTGGAGTTGGAGAGCGGGAAAAACAGACGAAGATTGTTTTTAGAATTCAATTTCAATTCACTCCTCACAAAAGGAGAATTTATTGGAGAAGTCAGATTTACGATAGTATTATTGTATTTATATCCGGTGGTTGTTAGGTAATTAGAGCTTAAGAGCACGAAGATTTTTTAATTTATATCTAGCGATAATTTAATTTTAAATTAGTGTGAAGTGTTGAAGAATGTTAATGTTTGCGAAAATCTCTAATACTACTGTACCATGAAAAAGATGATTCATTTATTTATTATTATTATTATGCAAATAACTGATTGGTACAACAAATTTAAATAAATTACAATTTTTCTTTAACCATGTAAAATTGTTGGTTCCATTGTTCTAGAAGTAGGGAGGTAAGTTTCTTTGGCTGATTGCTAGGAGTGTTATCGGGTTGGGATGAGGCAGGATTCCGTCCTCATCCCCCAATTTTATTTTTCATACCTACAAAATTCTTTAGACTAGATTCTCGTGAGGAATTATTTCCAATTTATTAATTTTTTAAAGAAAATTCTTAATTAAATGTTAATTCTCCATTCCATCGAGATTTACATTCCATGAAGGTTAAATCTCGATGGAGAATTACCCGTCTCTATTTTGGTCAAAGAAAAGACTTCCTCATCTAACCACACAAGATGCTTAAACTATCGGGGAAAGGTAACACTCTTACTAATTGAACAATGTTGTGTCAGCAATCTTATTTATTTTATTTATATATTTTTATGATTTTGATTTTTAAATGCTTTACTTGTCAAACTTAACTTAGTTATTGTCATTATTTTTTAAAATAAAAATGGATATAAACACATTCTTGGTTATTGATAACTATATGCACAAATATGTATTATTTGTTACATGCGAACTTGATAATAACTTGTACTAGGAAGAGGAGAAAAAAATTTGAAAATAACTTGTACTCAGAAGAAGAGAGAAAAAAAAAACTTAAGAATAACTCAACTTGTTATTCCCGCTCCACATTTTTTTTATTAAAAAAGTATTTGCTAAATATGATAGCTATGATGTATACTGTAGTTTTGAAATAAGTTCAAATTTTTTTAAAAAAGTTAAATTGAATATTTGGTCCCATGGCTTCAGTTCAATTTCAATTTCAATCTGGATTCTATATTTATAGAAGTTTCAATTTGATTTCTAATATTAGATTTAGTTTTAAGGTTCAAAACGAGCATTAATTGACATATATCTCTAATTAAGAGGTCGTAAGTTCGATCTCTATCCAACTTGTACTAAAAAGATTTATTATTATTATTATTTATTTTTAATTTGATCCCTGTAAAATTTTACCAATGGTCCATAAACTCTTTATACCCACCGAAAAACGAGAGAAATTACAAAAACATTTCAAACTTAGATCCAATAATTATGATTAGAAGGCATGCAAATTTTTTAATCTACCTCCAACACTTATTTAGAGAGCAGCCACTCATTAATTCACAACCAAATTCAAATCACATATCTCCATAAGGTATTCTCTGTAATCTACAGATAATAACTTTAATAACAGATGGTAACTGGTAATTTTTACAAATGATTACCACCATTTTTCCACCCTACACTATCTTCAGTCTAAAATCATCTCAATGAGCCACAGGTAACCATAAATACAGAGAGCATATTCCAGTATTTACAGCAATAAATATTTAGGAGATATCTACAGTTCAGGGAGGAGCTCTTTTCTTGTATTGTTTGTGAATATTTACTCTTTGTCATTGGAGGAGCTCTTTTCCTTCTTCCTAGGCCCCCCGAGAATTCGAGAAATTTGCAGACCTCTGCTGAATGCTTGGTTGAACAGCATTCGCGTCTGGAACTCCGAAACGAATGGGAACCAGGCCAGGAATGCTACAGGTGTGAACAGGAGCAAGCCCATGAGAATTTCGTAACTCCGAGCAAGTGCGCGAACCGATCCCCATAAGCCAGTATGATGGATGAGGGGCTTACAAGCTTGTGCAATCTGTATTGAACAATGAAGATGAAGACAATTGGTAAATTGATGAGCAGAAAAGGTTTTCAAGCATCTAAAGGATCTAGTATGAACTGACCAAGAGCAGGCCCCATCCTGTTGGCAAGAAGGCAAGGATGCAAAGTATGATGTCCCTGATTGTCATATGAGGGACTGCAACTAAAGTAATGAAACCAGCTAAACAGATTATGAAAACAAAACCCTCAGCCAGCCGAAATAACAACTGAAAACTCGCACTGAACCGACGCCTTCCGACGGATACAGCCTACAATATTTGAACTGTGTTAGCGTAATCCCAGCAGCAACAGGAAAGTGTTCTATTTAGTGGTTCCATATTATTCATTTCACAAGAACAGAGCTAATGAAGAATTGGTAATGAAAATTCTTGTGTTTGTAAAGCTACATAGAATAGGAATATCTTTTGGGCCTTGAAAATATGTTTTCAGTTATTTAGCAACAAAATAA